TGTCCCCCCTTCCCTGGCCACAGGTAACAGGCTGGGAGGGGCAATAAACTTAATTATACAGACACTGCATCCACTATACACAGTGCACACAATACATGCACTACACACAGACACTGCACACACTGCATGCACTATACATAGACACTGCATCCACTGCACACACTACATGCACTACACACAGACACTGCATCCACTGCACACACTACATGCACTACACACAGACACTGCATCAACTACGCATACTGCACACACTACATGTACTACACACAGACACTACATGCACTACACACAGACACTGCATCCACTGCACACACTACATGCACTACACACAGACACTGCATCCACTACGCACACTACATGTACTATACACAGACACTGCATCCACTGCACACACTACATGCACTACACACAGGCACTGCATCCACTACGCACACAGCACACACTACATGTACTACATACAGACACTGCATCCACTACACACACTACATGTACTAAACACAGACAATATATCCACTACACACATTGCACACACTACATGCACTACACACAGACACTGCATCCATTACACACACTGCACACACTACATGCACTACACTACGCCCACTATACACACTGCATGCACTGCACACACCAACTATACTCTGCATCCACTACACACACTACATCCACTGCACTTACCAAACATACTCTGCATCCACTAAACACACACTGCATCCACTACACTTCACCCACTACACAAACACAGACAGTGCACCCACACTGCACCTACTACACAGCACCCACTACACTGCATCCACTACACAGACACTGCACCTACTACACCGACACTGCACCCACTATACTGCATCCGCTACACAGACACTGCACCACTACAGATAAAGGAAAGGTAGCGCCACTAAAATATAAAGGTAGTGTACTACTATCACACATGACAAGCTGGAGAAGTAGAAAATATAATAATGGAAACCTGTCCATGGAGGATGGTTCAATCTTGATAGTATGTGTATTCCTCAATGTGGTATAAATAAATCCTCGAAGTTCATTTGAAATAGATAAAGATGACAACTAATGGTGCACTATGTCCCAAATGGGGGTTAAATACAGTATAGGAAATCTATATGGTCGTACTCACTTTATGCATCCACTACACACTCTGTATCTACTACACACATACTGCATCCACTACACAAACACACACTCTGCATCTACTACACATATACTGCATCCACTACACACTCTTTATCTACTACACACATACTGCATCCACTACACACTCTATATCTACTACACAAACACACACTCTGTATCTACTACACACATACTACATCCACTACACAAACACACACTCTGCATCTACTACATACATACTGCATCCACTACACACTTTATATCTACTACACAAACACACACTCTGTATCTACTACACACATAATGCATCCACTACACAAACACACACTCTGTATCTACTACACACATACTGCATCCACTACACACTCTATATCTACTACACAAACACACACTCTGTATCTACTACACACATACTGCATCCACTACACAAACACACACTCTGCATCTACTACATACATACTGCATCCACTACACACTCTGTATCTACTACACACATACTGCATCCACTACACACTCTATATCTACTACATACATACTGCATCCACTACACAAACACACACTCTATATCTATTACACACATACTGCACCCACTACACACTCTGCATCTACTACACACATAATGCATCCACTACACAAACACACACTCTGTATCTACTACACACATACTGCATCCACTACACACTCTATATCTACTACATACATACTGCATCCACTACACAAACACACACTCTGTATCCACTATACAAGTCCACACAATGCATTCACTATACACACTGCATGCCATACACACACATACTCTGCATTTACTACACATACTGCATAACGTGGATGTGCGCAAGGTTTGGAGGGGGGGAGGGGTATAAGTTTATCTTTCGACCCAGGCAGTACAATGTCTTGGGTTGGCCGAATGATGCTTTGATCCTGTAAGTATCTGATAAGTATTGGTTCACGGACTACTAAGGATTCTCTCTATCCTAGGGAAATTGGCAAGCCATGCACAAGAAGCGTGGACATCTAATGAGCCAAGAATCAATTATAATGGAGGCTCCAAAGCCAGATCTGAAAGAACCCTCAGTCAAGGTAACATAATCTTTATTTAATGCAGACTTTTTACATTAATATCCTTAAGCAGGATATTCTTCAATTGGTAGTTATCTATTTTTGTCATACATCCTGTATGGCACGAAAAATTATATCCTTTCCGAAATATTGCAAGATGAGGGATACCGTATATTCTCCAATACATAAGTCTCTCAAGAATAAATGAATAAAAGAGAATAAATGAAAAAATATATAATAATTTTTAGGTATCACTAATATCAATCTATGTACAAAATTGCTGTTTTCATAGAAACATAGAATGTGACGGCAGATAAGAACCATTCAGCTCATCAAGTCAGCCTAATTGTCTAAATACTTTCATTAGTATATTTGGTATTTATATATCGCCCACTTATTCCACAGTGCTTTACAATATTATGAAAGGCGGGGAAATTTACAATAAATGAGACAATTACACAGTGACACATGAACATTAGGTAGATGAGGGCCCTGCTCAAACAAGCTTACAGTCTAGAAGAGGCAGGGTACAAAACACAGGAGGAAGGGCATCAAAGTGGGGAGCAAACAAACAAACAAGGTGGAAAAGTAACAGAACTGGAGGTGAGAGTGGGCAAACCTACGAATCTGTGAAGAAATGTAACGGGCTAGAGTTGTTTAAATCTTTATAGGTAAGGGTAAGAAAGGCTCCCACACCGCTCAGGCAAGCAGACTATGGATTCCAATAGTGGCAATCTTTTTAAGATAGTAGCTGTAGTAATGACAGAACCAAAATGGCACAATAAAACTTTAACAGACCACTATAGTGCCACTATAGTATTAATAGTGTCATGGCCCCCCTCCCGCCAGGCTGAAGGGGGAGGAAGGGGTTAGAATCTTACCTTTCTCCAGTGCCGGGCTCCCTCAGTGCGGGGGACTCTCCTCCTTTGGCCTTCATCGGCTGAATGCGCGGCAAGAGCCAAGTGCGCATTCAGTCAGTCCATAGGAAAGCATTCTCAATACTTTCCTATGGACGCTGGTGTCTTCTCACTGTGAAAATCACAGTGAGAAGCGCGGAAGCGCCTCTAGCGGCTGTCAATGAGGCTGGATTAACCCTAATGTAAGCATAGCAGTTTCTCTGAAACTTCTATGTTTACAGATGGACCTGGCACCAAGACCACTTCATTGAGCTGAAGTGGTCTGGGTGCCTATAGTGGTCCTTTAACTTTTATTAGGTAAAACAATGAAAATTTTGTAAATTAGGTTCCTGAAGACAAACCACCACGTCAAAACAAAAGGATATACACATATTTAGTTACTGCTGAAAATCAAAAGAAGAGAAAGAGTGTAGACTCAGATATTGAGCTGAAGTGGTCTGGGTGCCTATAGTGGTCCTTTAACTTTTATTAGGTAAAACAATGAATAGTGTTTACATCCAGCATTGGTGGACATACACAAGCAATGATGCCACATTCAAGCAGATTGCGGCAAAACACACTGACTTTTAGTTTTTACTTCTGGGTTTTGCCGAGTGCCGGGTCTAAGCTCCACCTCCCGATTGTGTTTCAGTGACTCATGTTGCCCGCCTCTTTTACTCCAGGCTTCATCAGACAACGCCCACCTCTCCCTCCTGCAGCGTTTAATATATCTTAAGGTGCTACCCGCATTTTGGGCTCTTTATAGGTAAGGGTTAGTATTTTGGGCAGACTTATGTTTTATGCTAGCTATTCAATTCAAATAAATTTTATACTACTTAAATGAATAAAAATGATTTGTGAAAGGGTTAAAATAATTAGAAGCGCATATTTGACAATTGTTTTTTTTTTTTTCACACAATCTCAGTATAACATTATATTTTGTAAATTAGGTTCCTGAAGACAAACCACCACGTCAAAACAAAAGGATATACACATATTTAGTTACTGCTGAAAATCAAAAGAAGAGAAAGAGTGTAGACTCAGATATTGCAAGAGCATTTCCTGGTGGACCAGCAGACCACTTCTCCTTTTCACAAGAAACGGCAAATTGTTTGACAGTAAGAGCTGAAGGTTCAAGTTCTGAGGTGTACAATTGTCCAAAACAACCACTGCTTACTACTGACAATACCACTCCTGTTTCCTCCAACCAATTCACTGATAAATTTTTAAGTAAACCAAGATCACCTGTTGGGTTGGTAAGATCTTCTTCAGAAAGTCCCCGACACACAGCAAACATTAGAAAACATTACAAATCACCCACTCCAAGAGAATTAATAAGGAATCCCCCCAGAAACTCAACAAATACCTCAATCATTGTCTCACTCCAATCTGGTCATAATCCCCCAGCTCCCTCTGCATCAGTGTCTCCAAGAATTAGCCGACTGCTTCCTGATGAAACGGTCAGGGAAGAGAGAATCCAGAGGCTTAAAATACTTTGTAGTGAATACAATCAGAAGGTTGAGGAATTGCAGCAGCATAAGAAGCTATAAACGCAGATTGTACTGATACTGTGTCCGCAAAGAAGAAAATAAATAAATTTCATTTTCCGGCATCTTTGCCTATTTTGCAAAGAAAAGAAACTTAACTTACAATGCTAGCGTCAACGCCAACAGAAGTCAGATGTAGATATACAGCTAACAATCTGATGAAGAAATGATAGCAGCACTGTCTCAGTTGTTAGTGGCTACTTCTGGCAATGCTACACAGTTATATTTGGCCTGAAAAAATAAATACATTTTGTTTTGATTCATGAATTTTCAAATTTTGTTTTGTCTGAAATGTGAACAATATAGATTTTTACGAACCAAAATTTGAAAAAAAAAATGGTTAATTTTTGAAAATCAATCTCTGGAAATGAATGCATCCAAAAAGGGACAGTCACAGAGTGACAAACCCATACATGGAATAATACACACCACACCTAATTATTAGGTAAAGTAATAGCCAATATTAATACTGTAATTGGTAATTATGTTTTAATACTTGCAATTTTCAGAAAGTGGTTTATCTATTAACAGATTTTACAAATATATAATGTATACTTGTACTGGATCGGAGCTTATAGAAAGTGGGAACAGCTGGGGAAAGCATTTTGTTCAGGTAGGGTGGGAGTTTCACCGCAATTGTGGAACGACCTCCCGCACACTTTAAAATCTTCCCCAAGCCTAGAGTCCTTTAAGAGATCCCTCTCTACATACCTCAAAACAGAATGCACGTGTCATGGTTGATTATATGTTTCCTACCTGTTCTATGTTACATTGTGTATATATTGTGTATTAATATTGTTTTTGTATTTTGTTGTACCTAATGTATCAATGCAATGATTTGTGGACCCAGTACATACTTGAAAACGAGAGAAATCTCAATGTATCTTTCCTGGTAAAATATTTTATAAATAAATAAATATTAATATGTAATTCTACTTACACTAACACACACAAAGCGACACATTGTTAAATTCTTTACGCCTTTCTGAAATTTGCAAAAATGTAAACATATTTACTAATTACATTATTAATTAATATTAGTTAGATTACCTACTTATCTACCTTCCCTCTCACTGTTCCAGAAAGTCATATCACAACAAATGGATCCAAATCAAATCGATTTAATTGATTATAGATCTGTTCATATTTTTGTTAATTTTTCCTGGCTTCTGATTTGCCAAATCGGCTAAATTTTAGATTAAATTTGATCATTAATGAAATTAATTTCACATGTCTAAAAAAATATAATCACAAGCCCCCCAATCTTGGCAACTTCATCTATTTTCATAGAGAGGCACACATTTAAAGGGACACTATAGTCACCAGAACAACTACAGCTTATTGAATTTGTTCTGGTGAGTAGCATTCCCTTCAGGCTTTTTGCTCTAAACAATGTATTTTCAGAGAAAATACGGCGTTTGCATTACAGCATAGGGCTTGCACCCACAAGTTCACTACAGAAAAGCTCAGACACCTACAAGCTCACTACAGACAAGCTCACTGACACACACAAAAGTTCACTAGAGACAAGCTTAGTGACACCCACAAGCTCACTACAGACAAACTCAATGACACACACAGGCTCAGTAACACCCACAAGCTCACACACGCAAGCTTACTGACACCCACAAGCTCACTACAGACAAACTCATTAACACCCACAAGCTCACAACAGACAAACTGAGTGACACACATACACAAGCTCACTACAGGCAGGCTCACTGACACCCACAAGCTCACTACAGACAAACTCAGTGACAACCACAAAAGCTCACTAACAGACAAGCTAAGTTAAACCCACACATGCTCACTAACACACACACACACACACACACACACAAGCTCACTAGAGACTAGCTCACTGGCACCCACAAGTGACTTGAGGCAAGCTCAGTGACACACACACACACTCACTGACACACATGCACTCACTACAGACAAGTTCACTGACACACATAAGCTCATTACAGTCAAGATCACTGACACACACATAGCTCAATACAGACAAACTCAGTGACACGTACACAAACTCATTGGCACACACAAGCTCACTGACACAAGCTTATGTATTAGAGCCATGGTTATATATTAGGACTATGGTTGGGATAATGTATTGGACCCATGGTTATATATTAGGACTATGGTTGGGGTGATGTATTGGAGCCATGGTTATATATTAGGACTATGATTGGGGTGATGTATTGGAGCCATGGTTATATATTAGGACTATGGTTACAGTGATGTATTGGAGCCATGGTTATGTATTAGGACTATGGTTGGTCTGATGTAGTGGAGCCATGGTTATATATTAGGACTATGGTTGGGGTAATGTATTGGAGCCATGGTTACATATTAGGACTATGGTTACGGTGATGTATTGGAGCCATGGTTATATATTAGGACTATGGTTACAGTGATGTATTGGAGCCATTGTTATATATTAGGACTATGGTTGGGGCGATGTATTGGAGCTATGGTTATATATTAGGACTATGGTTGGTCTGATGTAGTGGAGCCATGGTTATATATTAGGACTATGGTTGGGGTGATGTATTGGAGCCATGGTTATATATTAGGACTAGTTTGGAGCCATGGTTATATATTAGGACTATGGTTGGGACGATGTATTGGAGCCATGGTTATATATTAGGACTATGGTTGGGGTGATGTATTGGAGCCATGGTTATATATTAGGACTATGGTTGGGGTTATGTATTGGAGCCATGGTTATATATTAGGACTATGGTTGGGGTGATGTATTGGAGCCATGGTTATATATTAGGACTATGGTTGGGGCGATGTATTGGAGCCATGGTTATATATTAGGACTATGGTTGGTCTGATGTAGTGGAGCCATGGTTATATATTAGGACTATGGTTGGGGTTATGTATTGGAGCCATGGTTATATATTAGGACTATGGTTGGGGTTATGTATTGGAGCCATGGTTATATATTAGGACTATGGTTGGGCGATGTATTGGAGCCATGGTTATATATTAGGACTATGGTTGGGGTTATGTATTGGAGCCATGGTTATATATTAGGACTAGTTTGGGTGATGTATTGGAGCCATGGTTATATATTAGGACTATGGTTGGGGTGATGTAGTGGAGCCATGGTTATATATTAAGACTATGGTTGGGGTGATGTATTGGAGCCATGGTTATATATTAGGACTAGTTTGGGTGATGTATTGGAGCCATGGTTATATATTAGGACTATGGTTGGGGTAATGTAGTGGAGCCATGGTTATATATTAGAACTATGGTTGGGGTGATGAATTGGGGACATGGTTATATATTAGGACTATGGTTGGGGTAATGTAGTGGAGCCATGGTTATTTATTAGGACTATGGTTGGGGTAATGTAGTGGAGCCATAGTTATATATTAGGACTATGGTTGGGGTGATGTAGTGGAGTCATGGTTATATATTAGGACTAGTTTGGGCGATGTATTGGAGCCATGGTTATATATTAGGACTATGGTTGGGGTTATGTATTGGAGCCATGGTTATATATTAGGACTATGGTTGGGGTGATGTATTGGAGCCATGGTTATATATTAGGACTATGGTTGGGGTGATGTATTGGAGCCATGGTTATATGTTAGGACTAGTTTGGGTGATGTAGTGGAGCCATGGTTATATATTAGGACTATGGTTGGGGTGATGTAGTGGAGCCATGGTTATTTATTAGGACTATGGTTGGGGTGATGTATTAGAGCTATGGTTATATATTAGGACTATGGTTGGTCTGATGTAGTGGAGCCATGGTTATATATTAGGACTATGGTTGGGGTGATGTATTGGAGCCATGGTTATATATTAGGACTATGGTTGGGTGATGTAGTGGAGCCATGGTTATATATTAGGACTATGGTTGGGACGATGTATTGGAGCCATGGTTATATATTAGGACTATGGTTGGGGTGATGTATTGGAGCCATGGTTATATATTAGGACTATGGTTGGGGCGATGTATTGGAGCCATGGTTATATATTAGGACTATGGTTGGGGTGATGTATTGGAGTCATGGTTATATATTAGGACTATGGTTGGGGTGATGTATTGGAGTCATGGTTATATATTAGGACTATGGTTGGGGTGATGTATTGGAGCCATGGTTATATATTAGGACTATGGTTGGGGTTATGTATTGGAGCCATGGTTAGGACTATGGTTACAGTGATGTATTGGAGCCATGGTTATATATTAGGACTATGGTTGGGGTGATGTATTGGAGCCATGGTTATATATTAGGACTATGGTTGGGGTTATGTATTGGAGCCATGGTTATATATTACGACTATGCTTGGGGTTATGTATTGGAGCCATGGTTATATA